ACCAAAAGAAAAAAAATAAGAAAACTAGAGCAACGACGCTGGGAGAGTGCTGGTGCGCTGTCAGAGGTGCAGCCCTTGGGCACTGCAGCTATTGTTGTCTTAAAATTTTTCAAAAAAAAAAAAAAAATAGAAATAGAAATCTAAGGTTTGAAATTCAGATATCAAAATTTAAAAATCTAAAGTATAAATTCCAACCTTAAAATTCGCATTTATTTTCAATGGTTTAGTATGGATTGACTTTGATACTAATTAAATTTTATAGAACTCAAACTTTATGAATTGCCAAGATCTACATGTCAAATCATCAAAACAATTAATTAATAGGGAACATACCTTGATCTATGAATTTGTATCGTGAATCTTTAATTTTGAATCTTGAAGATGAACTTGCAATATTCTCCCTGTGATTGGTTTCTTGCTTTCAATCTTGATTGCCTTGTTCTTGAATTTAATTGTTTCAATCCATTCTTCTTGATTGTGGATTTTGAATCTTCCTCTTCAATATATTTTCTCTTGTACTTTTGTTTTGATAAGATGACACAACGAATGATAAATTACATATGAATTGAGGACCATACCCTTATATATAGTTTTCATATGTATTTCACCTATCATAAAATACAATTATAAAAGAATTTGATATCTAAACATATAATCGGGCCCACACTTTATTTAGATACCCAAAGCCGAATTACTTAATTCTTTATTAGATTACTTTACAAATTAATAATTTAACAATAGAGTAAATAATTCAGTGACATGCAAATTCTTGAAGAGAAAAAGAATTGAATGTTTGTGGGGGGTGAGAGAGGATGCATTTTCAGTCCAAATACAAAGGTTCCCTCCTAGCCTATGCTCTTTTTTCTTATAAAGTCTACCCTTTCTCCACATTACTTTGCGCTCATGTTTGGTAGATTATTGATTATTTTTATTCTTATGTAGTTCTATTTTAAATTCTCGGCTGTGCATTGATTCGAATAGCAACCATACTTTTAAATGTCATTTTTAATAGTCGACGTTGAACCATTTTTTTTTTTCATATTTATAGATTTTTTATTTTATTTTATGCTTTATCCTCACCCTTTTCATTCTTCATAAGAGATTCAATAGCATAAAGTGAGATTTTTTTGAGAGAAAAATTTTTTTTTTTTTTTTTTTTTTAACATTCATATTTTCAACCACACATTCACACGATAAAACATTTTACATGTAAACCTCAAAACTTTTTCCTACTTTTTAACCACATATTCTCTTAAAAAATACTATTCAAAATTTTATTTTTACAATTAATATTGTTCTACACTCATCATTATGAATCATTGGAAAAATTAAAGATTTTATTTAACATGTTATAGGAATCGTAGTTTCAAGAAGAAGAAACGATAAAAAATTTTAATACTCATGAAATACTGAAACTCGGTAATCTCATAGACTACAATTATAATAATATATTGAATTATTTTTATTAATGTTACGTTGTTTGAAGAAAAAATAATAATAAAAATAAAAATAAAAATAATTGTAACTTAATTTTTGACAACCAAAAATATCTGGCTCCACCATGGGCGGATCTAGTCAGCATCCCCACACTTAATTTCAAATTTTTTTCAACAAATTAAATAAACTTAGTTAATAAATTGGGCCCCGCAATTAAAATTTTTGTACTTCAAAATGTTAGGACCAAAGGATAGTATAGTATTTTGACAGTGATACAACTTTTTCATCACCTTCCCCTCTCCAACTTTTCACCTCCTAGTGCTTCCATTGTACTTTTTCTTTTCGTCCATTCTCATTTTCAGATACCGTGTCTGTACACTTCTCTGGATCCTTAAATGAGGCCAATTGTTATTAAATTTGATACTTATAACTTAATTATATGATTCGTTTGCTAGGTACAACTCAATGTTCGAAAGTTAAATTGAAATAAATGAACAAAAACGAGCAAAAATGAAATAAATTCAAAGTTCTGGAGTCAAATTACATATATCTAATAGTTAATGAACCAAAAAATGATGATTAAAGATCACATAGGATTAATCGAATGCAATTGAAAGTTAAAAGAGCGAATTATAGTCAAAGTATTTTGATAAACCAATTTTCAATCACACAAGTTAAGCTCTAGATTTTCAGCCTCGGATTGTTTTTTGGCATATCAAACCTTCTAATTGAAAAGATGATATTTTAGAATAATGACAACCATTTTGAGTTTGCTTTTCAATGTACTTTAAATCACTTCAATTCAATATCAAGAGAGAAAGTTACGAGAAAAATACTAAAACCTATTCAGTTCTCGAAAAACCAAGTGGTGCGTGAGCCCAACCTATGCATCCTGCCCAATTGGAACTGTGCCCGTGCAAGGAATTGGCTGATGCGGGAGCGCACCATAAAATATCATCTTATAGCCAACTTTCCTTTTTTTATTCAAACTCCCTTACCTCTCAAATCACATCCATATAATAAAATCTATGCAATTCAATAGCCGTTGGATTGGAGAACAAATTTAGAATGTGGATTGAATCAAGATCATCAAGAACTTGAAGAATCAAAATTTAGGGTTGAAAAACAATGATGAGAAATAAATCATGACATCTCTTTCCTATAGTAATAAATTTCAAGTGATTTTTTCATTCTTCTTGTTTTAACTTCAAAAATATGTTTAGTTGTGATTAGAATTGAATTAATTTAAAAAACAAAGTTAAATACATTAACTTTATTGATTGTCAGTACGTATAAATAAGACTAATGTTTTTTGTTTATTTTGAGTCCCTAGAGTTGTGTCTATAGATCTTTGTCGTTTGTACATTTTTAGATCTTTGTTTTTGCCCGAAGATGCCCGTAATATTTGTACATGAGTTTTGATTAATAAAATTTACATTTATCGATAAATAATAAGACTAGATTAAATAAATTGAAATAGATATCAATATGCCGACTCTAAATCCAATATAATCATTCTTAGTTAGATACAATTCTTGCATTAATTTTAGAATGATCTTAGCTTAATAACATAAAATATCTTTTGTGTGACAAACTTCGAATCCTATACAAAATTAGTAAACTTGAATAAGAATATATTTTTTTGGAGGAAGATACTCTCAGTTCACTAAAATTATTACTTGTTAACGATTTTGTGCGCTTGCGAAATTTTTACAAATACCCTGTGATTTTGTAAAATAAGAAAAAAGAAAGTGGAAAAGTTTTGAACTTTGAAGAATAAACAAAGCTATAGGGAGAGAAAATTATGTAATTTGAAGTTCAAAGAAAGAACAGGATATCAAGAAATTTTCGATGACGGTGAATTTACTTTTTCATATTCTTTTGCTAATTAAAGAATTACATTTTTGGATCAAAAAATAATTGCATTTTGGGGATTTTCAATTTTGAGATTTTTGTGTTCGCTTAAAATGCGATTTTTTTTATTTTTATTATTATCATTTTTTTTTGGCCCTCCATAACTTTACAATCCTAACTTATTACAACCACTCTTTTCCCTGTCTAGTTCGATTTTGCTTACATCATTTTTTTACTGATCATTGCCCGAACAAGTTTTTTTGTAAATTAAACTAGAACCTTTCGATGTGCATTGAATCTCGTCAGAACGTGCATTTTATCTAATCTAATTATTAATCATAATTACCATATTTTATATTTTTACATTTTAAATTGTCGACGAAAGATATGTCAAAAACTGTATAACTTTCCAATGGGTACAAACACCCATCGTAAAATGGTGCATGTTCCTACGAACTTTGGAGGTTCGTCGAAAAATTAATCTTTTTAATTTTTCTAAAATTTCATTTTAACTTTCCAACTGCATTACTTTATGCGAAAATGTGTTCATTTTGGGTTTTGTTATACGTACACTGTCCTTGTGTACACTGGATGTTAAGACTTGGGGTCCATCTTAATAAGGTCAACCTTTTTAAGAGGAGTGTCTCAATCCTTTATATATTGGTCATTATTTCGGTATTTTACCGATGTGGAATTATATTCCCTTAACATGCCCCCGCAAGATGGTGGCTCGTTTGAGCAGACCAATCTTGAAATCCGTGTGCTCATTTTTAGAGACTTAATCGGATCGAATAGCTCGTTGGAGCTTACTGGGCTCTGATACCATGTTAAGACTTGGGGTCCATCTTAATAAGGTCAACCTTTTTAAGAGGAGTGTCCCAATCCTTTATATATTGGTCATTATTTCGGTATTTTACCGATGTGGGATTATATTCCCTTAACACTGGAGTGTATAAATAGCATTTTCCTTTTATTTTACAAGTAGGGGCGGACCCAGGATAAAAATTCAGTAGAGGCGAAACCAAAAAACTTATGGGGCAAAACCAAAAAATCATAAGAAAAAACCTGAAAAAACCTCAAGAAAAATAAAAAATTTGAAAATCAAGTGGGGGCGGCCAACCCCACTCGGCCTCAAGTGGGTCCGCCCCTGTTTACAAGTTATTGATGGATGATAAGGTTTACTTTATTTTAAATTATTTATAAAATATATTATTTTTATTTTTATTTTTTTTCAAGGGGAGCCTGTAGAAATATTCTGTCAATGTTGGAGCGTGTCATGCCTATAGTTAGTTCTATTTGTAAAGCCTTGGGAGAAATCGGATTACCAAAAAGAAAAATGGAAACTTGAAATAATGAAAAGAAATGAAGCAGGCCAATGTCATGTACTTTAAATCTCATAATCTTTGGCTTAATCTTTGAAAATTATTCCTCGACATTCCTTGCTACATCTATAATAAAATTTTCATAATCTCCATTTTTCAATGAAAATCTCACAAAGATCATTAACCAGCTACTGCACTTCTTGAATTAGTTCAACAGTTTCTTGAGTTAATTTCCTCACTCTATATATAGCTTTCAACTTCACATTCTTCTCCAGTCTTATATTTTCCAAGTTTTATTCTATAAAAAGAACTTGTAATATTTTGAAGCTCAAGTGTATTGAAAATGCATTTAAAGATAACAAAAGTCGAGGCGATTTTTGCTCTATCTTCGTTTTATCTACTTGCTTTCTCTCGTAAGCATTTTTTTTTTTTTTTTATTGTCGCCCGGTGATAACAGGATGAAAATTAGTACATTTGCATATACATATGCTCTAGCATGATCTTCTACCCTAGTGGGCAGGATAATTGTTTACTACTGACGTGACAAGAGAGCTTTATTTATGATTCTCTAAAACAATCATAAATTTAGAGAAGTACCACAATTAAGATTTTCTTGTCACCATGGGAAGTTTTTATCCTGGTCACTGAAAACCAGATCATTTCCATACAGATGCTAACCATTTTTTGAAAAAATTTCCTGTGGCAGATGCATTTATGTCAAGAAGAATTGGCATAAATTATGGTCAATTGGGAAGCGATTTGCCATCTCCATATCAATCGATCGAATATCTCAAGTCGATGAAAGCCGGTATGGTGAAGCTCTATGATGCCAATCCTGAAACTCTAAAGCTTTTATCAGGAACAGATCTTCATGTCTCAATAATGGTGAAAAATGAACAACTATCCAGCATTGCTTCAAGTGAAATAATGGCCGAAAATTGGGTACGCGAAAATGTTCTTGCGTACTACCCCAACACGAAGATCAGATTCATACTTGTTGGAAATGAAATTTTTACCTACAATGATCAGAAAATGTGGCTTGATCTTGTACCAGCCATGAGCCTAATCGAGAAATCAGTGGCTGCACATAACATTCATAACATAAAAGTGGGGACTCCACTGGCTATGGACGTAATGGATTCGACTTTTCCACCCTCAAGTGGGAAATTCAGTTCTAGAATTCCGGAGAAGGTGATGGTATCGTTGCTCGAATTCTTGAATTCGACTCGATCATTCTTTTTCATAGATGCGTACACTTATTATCCATGGTCATTGGATCCATCGAATTTGGACTTAGATTATGCATTACTTAAGGGCGGAAATCTAACTTATAAGGATCCAGTAAGTGGCTTGATTTACACAAATCTTCTCGATCAGATGCTTGATTCTATCATCTTTGCCATGCGGAAACTAGGGTTTCCAAACATCAAGTTGGATTTCCTGTGGCAGATGCATTTCTGTCAAGAAGAATTGGCATAAATTATGGTCAATTGGGAAGCGATTTGCCATCTCCATTTCAATCAATCGAATATCTCAAGTCGATGAAAGCCGGTATGGTGAAGCTCTATGATGCCAATCCTGAAACTCTAAAGCTTTTATCAGGAACAGATCTTCATGTCTCAATAATGGTGAAAAATGAACAACTATCCAGCATTGCTTCAAGTGAAATAATGGCCGAAAATTGGGTACGCGAAAATGTTCTTGCGTACTACCCCAACACGAAGATCAGATTCATACTTGTTGGAAATGAAATTTTTACCTACAATGATCAGAAAATGTGGCTTGATCTTGTACCAGCCATGAGCCTAATCGAGAAATCAGTGGCTGCACATAACATTCATAACATAAAAGTGGGGACTCCACTGGCTATGGACGTAATGGATTCGACTTTTCCACCCTCAAGTGGGAAATTCAGTTCTAGAATTCCGGAGAAGGTGATGGTATCGTTGCTCGAATTCTTGAATTCGACTCGATCATTCTTTTTCATAGATGCGTACACTTATTATCCATGGTCATTGGATCCATCGAATTTGGACTTAGATTATGCATTACTTAAGGGCGGAAATCTAACTTATAAGGATCCAGTAAGTGGCTTGATTTACACAAATCTTCTCGATCAGATGCTTGATTCTATCATCTTTGCCATGCGGAAACTAGGGTTTCCAAACATCAAGTTGGCAATAGCAGAAACTGGTTGGCCTAATGCAGGTAAGATTAAAATTAAACACATTGGTTGTCACCAAGCACTTGATTGTCATCAGCTTAGGTGGTCACACTTGATAGATTCAATTAAATGAATCATATGATGTTACATTTAAGTGAATATATCATTCAATGTCGTATAATTGCTACCTAGATTAGTGTCTGATACCGGTGATGCTGAATAGCATTACTCTGATAATTTGCCAACTAGATTGCTATGCGAGCCTTTTCTAGGAGGTCAAACTAATGAATTGGTGCCACTTGAATATGACGAAACTTAATTTTTTGCTAAAATTCATATTAATTAGTTGCATTCAACCGAATGCAGGTGACATTGAACAATCCGGTGCGAATGTATACAACGCTGCGACTTACAACCGGAATCTTATCAAAAAATTGACCGTCGATCCTCCAATTGGGACACCGGCTAAACCCGGTGTTGTCATTCCAACCTTCTTATTCTCTTTATATGACGAGAATCAGAAATTCGGGCCAGGAACAGAAAGGCACTGGGGACTGTTGAATCCGAATGGGACTCCAATTTACGAAGTGGACTTAACCGGAGCACTATCCGAACAAGATTACACCAATTTGCCCCAGCCTTTGAATAACAAACCATACAAAGGGAAGATATGGTGTGTAGTGGCAAATTCAGCAAACATAATGGATTTGGGACCAGCTTTGGGTATGACATGTGGCCAAGGCAATGGGATTTGTGATGAACTTGGCCCGGGGAAAGGGTGCTATGAACCAGTGTCTGTTGTTAACCATGCAAGCTATGCATTCAGCTCATATTGGGCTAAGTTTAGAGACAATGGTGCATCATGCTACTTCAATGGTCTCGCTGTTCAAACCACGATTGATCCAAGTACGATTTCTAGTCTTATTTTTGCAATGCTAGCCTTCGTTCTCACTTTGAATATGTTGCTTTTCCATCAACTATAAATATTTTTGTTTATAAATAGATAGAAATGAGTAGTGAATAAATGAGTCATATTTGTGGGTCTCATAAAAATTGTGAGTACCGTTAAGTTTTCTCGATGGAAATTGAAAAAGAATTTCCTAATTTTCACATTTTAGTAAAATTTGGGACTTAAAAGGAAACCTAGGAAACTTAGAATAAAAAAATTAATTGTAAGTGGTATTTAATTTTTACACCAAAAAGCAGAAAAAGTGCCATTTATATTTTCAATAATATTTTTAGATGATATATTTCATTGACTTAAAATTATGCATTTAGAGATTTTGTTATTTTATTAAATATAAAGTGTTTTAATTATTTTCAAAAAAAAATTTAAATAATTGAATTGTTATCTTACTATTAACTACAAATTTTAATTTTTTTTTATAAAATTTTTTGACAAAAATTTTTGTCCTATTTTTTTTTTTTTTTAATCATAAATAATGTTTCTACGTTTTGAGTTATATTTTGTCGTGATTCATATCCACGAACCTAGGTTAATTAGCCTACAAATTCAGATGAATATTCTTGCATAAACACTATCAGAATAACTACAATGAATTTAGTTCTTGATAAATGGCATGTTTTGTTGAGCAGGTCATGGATCGTGCCAATACCCAAGTGTCTCGTTCTAAAGAGGATGGTTCAAATGGATAGCTTGAAGACACAAATTTTTTAGTTTATGCATTTTTTCTTTCCCAATATTTAGTTTTCTATTTAATTATCCTCCGAAAATTTTTGTTTAGGGATCAAATGTAGCTTTCTTCTACACAAAAGCTTTAAATTACAGGAATTTGAATCGTTTGTTATTATCCTAAATATATTGCTTATTTTCATGGGGGATTGTTTGCTTTTGCATTTCTACAAGCACAGTCTTAAGCTCTCTTTTTTAATTATTATTGGGTTTTTTTCTATCGCAAATGTATGGTATCGTAACAAGTATTTTAATGAATATTTGAGTCCGAATTATCGTTCCCATAAGAACTATACTTTATTCCTAGTATACTATTTCAACTCCTATTCGATGAATGAAACAATGATGATTTTTGTGAGTATTTGATCAAACAATTACTAATAACAGGAAGGGTAAATAGTACAAAACATCCTTATTTTTCAATGTCATTATGCAAAATGTCCCCATTTTTCATTTTTTTGACATTTTCACTCTTATTTTCACATTTCATTGCGAAAAAGGTATTTTCATCCATTTTTTCAAGAAAAAGACGATTTTACCTTTCTATTCAAATAATACAAAAAGAAATTAAATGAAAGGATAAAGAATTAATTGCAATAATAGTTCCAAATTTTTTTAAAAAAATTACAAATTAAGCACAAATATATAATTAAAAATCAAAAAAAAAAAAAAAATCATTATCTTCTTCCGCCATCTTTTTCCTGCTGCACCATGGAGCTTATCGCTAAACTAGAAGCTTTTTCTATAAAAAAATAAATAAATAAATAAATAATAATAATAATAATAATAATAATAATAATAATAATAATAAAAAATAAAAAAAAATGCAGTCAGTGCTTTTTCACATCTGTCGCTCCCTTTCCTCCGCCCCACTTCTTCACATCGACTTTTTCCCCTCTCCGGTGCAATGATACCTACACGACACATGTATACGTCTGCGAAATTCTAAATCTGGGTAGATTCTGGATTTCATTATTTTTCATTCAGATTTTGTTCATATAGAAATTAGAACCCAAAAAATGCATGCAATAAAAGCGAGAGTTTCGAAAACACTATCAATTTTTTTTTTTCAGACTCCCTATCATCTCAAACGCCAGATCAAGAACCCGAGGTACCTTTGTTTTTTTGGTTTTTCCTTTTGTGGGTTTGCGGAATTATATTAATATTTGATTGAATCCAATGTTTGAATTGATTGTGAGATTTTTTAATGATTTTTTATTAATTAAAAATTTTTTTTTTGTCTGATCTGTGAAAAAAATTGTGGGTTTGAGTTTTGGATACAATGTGTATTTATAAGTTAAATTCCATGAATACTTGAGAAATTTTTTTAGTTTGTGATGTTAATTGAGTTTATAATTTGATTTCATTTGACATGCTAATAGCAATGTCTAAAAGATGTAATGCGTGATGATGCGTGTAGGTCATGTATAGGCAAGGTGAGCTTAGGCAATGCGCAGGCATAAAGAAGCGTAAAAAGTCGTTTTCTTATCTTAATATTATTTTAATTTTTAATCAACTAAAAAAATTGTTTAATAATTAAAAATAATACCTACCAAACATCTAAAATAAATTTATAGGAAATTTATATATTTTTTCAAAGTTTTCAATGAAAAAATAAGTTTTAAATGTAAATATTAAATAGTAAATAAATAGGAATTTTAGGAGATTTCCTTTGTTCGAGTCTTCAAGCGATTGTTTTGAATTTAGAACTGACGAAGTAAAGAAATCAACATTTAAGTTTTAATTTAGAAAAAAAAAAGATAATTATGTGCGTCTAGGCGCGCATTAATAGTCAACGATTGTTGTTGATGTTAAATAAACCCCCCAAGCAACTTGGCTTGGCATTTCCATTGCATATGCGCTACTAATGCGCGCCTTTTAAAACAGTGGCTAATAAACTTGATAAAACAAGATCGGCTAGCATTTTATATTTTATGAATTTTATCTCCTTGTCTGGGTAATTTAAATCTTCTTTTTAGCAACAAGCTCCCACGCATGGTGGAACAAGAAGAAGATGGAGGAAGAAGATGAATGATTTTATTTTTTTTTTAGTTTTGATTTTTAATTATATATTTGTGATTAATTTGTAGCTTTTTGAAAATTTAGGACTATTGTTACAATTGATTCTTTATCCTGTCATTTCATTTCTTTTTGTTTTATTTCAATAAGAGGGTAAAATTGTCTTCTTCTTTTTAAAAATGGATGAAAAGGACTTCTACGCGATGAAGGGTGAAAATAGGGGTGAAAATGCTAAAAAATGAAAGGTTGTGATGTTTTCATAATGACTGTATATCAGTGCTCATAATGTCATCTATTGATTAGCTTTATTTCTTAAATCAAGATTAACAAATCTAATGTAATACTCGATCGAATTCTTCTATCATATTCAATTTACCCCTTTCGAGTTCTAGTTGAGTATATTTTACTAAATCATTTTTATATCTCTATATGAATCAATCTTAGTTAAATGCAATTATTGTTCTAAGAATTCATGTGACGACTGAAATAATTAGCATAAGTATCTCTACGTTTTATACTAACTTGCTGGATTTTACTATGCAGTCTCAATCTAAAACTCATCTCTTGATTCTTGGTAGATTTACAAAATCATTGAAATATTGGCCAAGTAATTCAAAGATTACATTCATGAATAAAATCAACATACATGCTTTGAAAGAACTATAATCTTGAATAAAAGAAATAAAGGGTACCAAATATATTACATTATTCGTCATAATAAAGGATTTAGCTTCGCATGATGTAGAAAGAAAAACAATAGATATTCATTGAGTGAATCACCGAATTTTGAATAAAGATGGCGATAAGCGAATGAATATTGCACCAAGATGATCTTGTTGCCCCCAATGAATCTTCCAAAACCTTGGTTTCTTGATTAATTTTTTTTTCCTCCTTTAATTTGCTCTCTATGGTATCGTTTGTTTCTCAAAGTGTGGAAACCCTTCAAAGTGCCTCTCCCAATGTATTTATACTTCCGCTAATGTTATTTTCTGATTGAGAAACGTTGTGGGCTTAAAATGGGCCAAAATTTTGCACCCTATGATGCATCGAGCGATGCCCACATGGCGCCATGGCACCACAACATTATGCTGGGTGGTGTCTTAGTGCCAACTTTCAGTTAATATTTTGGTTGTTGCGACACCTAGGTGCCCATATAGTGGCCTTTCGGGAAGATTTTTTGCATTGTACATCCTTCAATATTGTTATCATAACTTTCTTTTTCAATATTCAATTGTAACGATTCAAAGTGTGTTGGAAAAAAGCTCAAAGGGCTAAACTTTAACTCAAATAGCTTTTTCTGTTTCGAACGTTTACTATGTCAAAAATGGATCTTAATCTCCGACTAAAAATCTGGAACATATTTGTGCGGTTGAATATTGATTTGGAAAAAAAAAATTTGATCATACTTTACCCATTTTTTTACTTTTAATTCATTCAATTTACCCCTAGCATTCTCGAATCTCCACCGTGAAGTCCGATACAACTTTTAAATATTTACACTTTTGATCCCAAACTTTCAATCTTGCCTTTTTTATTGTCAATTTTAGCTTCTTCTTTTTTCACCACTTCTATTAATCGAGTTTTACCTAATAACACATTATATAATAAATTAGGTTATAATTTTATTAAAAGAACCACGAAATGTCCATATTTTAGAGCTCGAATAAGTATATAAAATACACTGATCATTTTTCCTTAACTAAACGTAAAAAATATCACACAATATGAAGAAACTGAATTGATGAATCATAAGGTTATTAATTTGTGAAAGGTTATTGAATTCTCAAAATCAACGCTAGAAATGAGTTACTCTAAGATAGTGTTTGATAACCTCCAATTCCATGAAAAATGAAAATTCATTTTTACCTTTTGCCAAAAATGAGTGTTTGATAGGTAAAAAATTCTAGAGAATTCATTTTCCATGATTCTTGCCACCTAAACAATTTTCCCACTTTTCCTTGAATTGGAATTCTCGCCAAAATGTTGAGAATTCCAATTTCGGTTTACTGTGTGTATATATATATATATTATGTTGCAATGGAAACAAATTCTAAGAATAATTGTAAAAAAATATTTTCCTTTAATTGGCA